AAAAAATAGCAAAATATATAGAGAAAAACTTGAGGGGGGTGGGGGTGCAAATTGAAAGTTTGAGGGGGGGGTGTGCAAATCGAAAACTTGAGGGGGTGCAAATCGAAAACTTGAGGGAGGGGGTGCAAATCGAAAATTTGAAAGTTTGTCCCCGGGAAGGGTCGCTACGCCTCTGGGGGGGGGGGGGTGACACCATTAAGTGCCGCACCGGGTGACACCCGACCTCGCTACGCCACTGGTTGTAGGCCTATGTGTCGTGTTGTTTTGGGGATCACGTTTAAAAAACTAGAATACATGTGAATAAATATGAATGAATATGAATGAAAGTGAATATATGTGAATAGATTTGAATACACGTGAATACACGTGAATTGCTTTTACTTTTTAAAATTCTTTCTGACAATTTTCGATGCTATATTTTAGAAGCTACAACAAAAAGACAGCTGTGTTTTGCTAAAGAAAGCGGAATAAATTTTGAAATCAGATATTGGGAAAAAAAAGAGAAATCGTAAAAAAAAAAAAATGTAAACTAATTTATCTGGGAATAAGTGCGAAAATAAAATAAAAATTGATATACAACGTTTTTTTTAATTTATTTATTAAAATGGAAAATGTATTAACTCTCTTTTCCATAGTGGATTATTTGAGGCTTAAGTTTTAAGTCAAACAAAACTATTCGGATTACAGTCTATCAGGTATTATAAAATTAGACAACAAATAATTCCAGACCATGTTTTAATAGGTCTGTTTTACTCCTTTTGGGATCCATCCATTAATTGTGTATACTCCACATGAATGTACATTTTATTAAGCGTTTTAGATTGGTAACAATTTGGCAACATCTATGTTTTAATTGTGAGAAATATAGCAACCTGAAAGATTTTCAACGGAAAACTGCGCAACGGAAAACTGCGCACAAAAAAGTGCGCAAGGGCATTTTTTTGTTTTCTCAATTCGATCAATAATAGTCAACAACAAAGTACCACATGTACATTGTAGCATAATAAACCATTTTTCCCACGAAATCTGACAAACGTAAAGTGTATTAGTAAATTAGTTTGTATTTGCGTATTTTTTGGTTAGCTCAGGTTTTCATTTCGCAGTTTTTCATTCCGCAGTTTATCATTTCGCAGTTTACCGTTTGCGCATTTTTGCTGGAAATCTACATCAAGTCACGTTTACGTAGTTCCACCCTCCTCACCCCACGCCACACATGTCGTCACAACCCCCCCCCCCACACACACTTTTCCCACTTCATTGTAACATGACATCTAGGAACCACCAATTATAACTTGATTAAATTATCAATTAATTATTCATTAAACTACATCCCAATTTTAATAACAGTTGATTTCTACAACTCTCAAAAACATGTAAATATTTTTTACACAATCAAGCCCCGTCCCCCAGCTCCATTTTAATTTCCATTTTGATATAGCTACGATGTGTCAATTATCGATACAATTTTATTGCATAATGACGTCATCAGTTGAGACAGTGGCGGATTATCGGGGGTCTAAAATTCCAATTTTTTTTGTGACGTCATAAATCGATGACCCCCCCCCCCTCTTACCCCTCCCCATCGGGCAATTCTCTCTAAAAATGATGCGATTCAAATAAATTTTTTTTGAAGAGCATGGCGTCTTCGTACCAACAAATTGTATCGTTGATGAGGGAAGGGAAGCGGTTGGATTATAGCCCGCCTCTCTTGTGCTATCATGTTGAGAGATAGATCTACACGAATACCTGCACTTTAAAAAAAAATTAATAAGTGTACGTACTCAAAATTCAGAGTTTTTCCTGAGAAAAATTTCTTAGAGGGGGGGGGGGGGGTGGAGCGAACAATGTAGAAAATATACATAATTTATACAGAAAATATATACTTTAACCAGTGTCCCCCCCCCACGTGAATTTAAATACGACCCCCAAAACCTTAGCTTCAAGTGCCCCCCCCCCTCTCACTCAAAGAGAAAAATGTCTGAAAGAAACGCTGCCAGTATTGGAAAAGCATTGTAATATCCTCAATACATGTTCATTTAGATCTATCCGTACCATCTCTAACAATGTATTATCTCCCTTTCCATAAAAGGGCTTTTAAGTCTCGTTCTCTCTCGCTTAACATTTGAAATCTCGTTAGCCAGGGAGAGATATACATTTTCGAGCTAAATTAATTATTTTGAACATAATGCTCACGGATAACAAAAAATCATGGCGGCTATTTGTCTAGCTCTTGCTTCAAGATTTTTTTTTTTACTAATTACAGAATCAAATTAAGTACCGCTTAGCCTAGGCTTTAATGTTGTGATGATATTATAACTATAAATTAGGACAACTTGTTACGGATTCGAATAAATTATTCCTAATGACTAATGGTATCTCATTTTACAAAACCACAGTTTAGCGCAGGCTACATTTTTCTTCAAGCTAGCCTGCATCTTGTAGTCTATCATTATCAGTGTTTACGATTAAAAATAACTCATATATACATATATATATATATATATATATATATATATATATATATATATATATATATATATATATATATATATATATATATTTATATATATATATATATTTATAAATATATATATATAGGCCTATATATATATATATATATATATATATATATATATATATATATATATATATATATATATATATATATATATATATATATATATATATATATATATATATAATTTTTTTTCCGATTTAATTAAAATATCCACATTTGGTTTGAAAAAATACTAGCTGGCAAGTACGAGAACGAGAAGTTAATGACCTACTTACAAGCCCTATTGATTGTTATTTTTAAAATGAAAATTTAAAGCATCCTTTGAAATCGATCGATCCAGTTCTTCACATAGAAAAGTCAATACTAGTAGATCGGTCAATGCTTTCTGGAGTCTGTCCTTTGTATATGTCTTGGTTAAAGACAATGTGTTATGATTAGTAATGTCTTCTTGTGACTGCTTTAGGTTCTGTAAACTCTATATTCGTCTAGGACTCCAGACACTTGACATAAAACATCCAGTCTCTTGACGTAATTACGTAAAACTTGTTTTATTACACATTTAGTTATTTGTTTTAGTTAACAATTAATTAATTAATTTGGAATTTAAAAAAAAAACTGGTTTATTTAATTGTTCACCTGGGCAATGGAAGTCACGTGCATTAATTAATCGATGGTGTAGACAATGGACATTTAATTGAATGTTATGATAGGAACACGGCGTGGGAGAATTTGTGGGCGTGTGTGAAGTGTGTTGCCTCGTAAGGGAGGTGTGTAAACTGAGGTACACACATTGACAAGCGCGTGCACGCACGCATAATGAGACAGACACACACACAAACACGCATACACAGTCACGGCACGCATATTTAAACACATTTACTCTTTCTCACACACACGCGTACACGAACGTACGTACGCACGTAAATAACGCATGCACGCACGCACTCATGAATACACAGCACACACACGCGCACTCACACACACACACACTCAACACACGCATACAAACAAATACACACGCATGCATACACACATGCACCTACGTGCGTACTCGCACACACACTCAAACAGAATTTACTCTCTCTCACACATAGGCTACTTATAATCACACACACAATATCTCTACTCCCTCTCTTTCTCTCTAACACGCAAACACACATACTCTCACATTCGCGCACACACATACCCTCTCTCTCTCTCTCTCTCCATTACCGACGCATGGTATCTAAATCTATAATGGGCCACGTTCGCACATCTCTCTCTCTCTCTCTCTCTCTCTCTGTCCGCAAAAAATTTTCGCCGGACATCACGTCAGAATCGGCAGCGATATATGAAGAACTTTTTACGGACTTTTGTTGAAAATAATATGCTAGATGTTTTGAATGTATAACCACAATTTTATTTAAAGAAGAAAAATAAAAAATAAAGGCGTATTCGAATGTAGAGAAACAGTATTATTTATGCAACCGGAAAAGCATTTATATATGTGAAGAAGAACGCATAAAACTATGACGTCACTATTTATACATTAACTAATGACGTCATCTGCCATGTGTTTACAATAAAAAGAAATGAACTATTTCATTCAAATTTGATTTAGATCTACGTACACTATGAAATGTATACAATACAATTTTTCCGGCCTAAACTCATTAAATTTATTTATACAAAATCTTTGTTTGGAACTGGCTAATTTGGGATAAAAAAATTAATTTGAAAGAATAGGCATATTCGCGTAAGTTAAGATTTTAAAATACGTCTTTCATTCTCCGTAATTTATAAGGTGCCTAAATAGCGGAGATGTTAGTGTACTATAAACCACGCAGGTGGTGCGGGTTCGAGACACACCAAGTCAACTTGGTTAATGTGTTTTTTTTTATTTTGCTCGGGCTAAACTTAAAAAAAAAAATTCTATTAGGATTCTAGATCTAGATCTAGATTGTCTGGTGTCCGATAAGGCACTTCCCGGCGCCGCAGGCGTTTCAAATTTGGCAGGATCTTGCCTTGGGGCGACAGAACACGGGACCGGTTGGCCGAAAAGTCTACGATGATGGGGTCAAAACTGACCTCGACTGACCGGCGTCTTATATGAGCTATAAATCGAAAAAAAATGTCCACGGACGAACCTCTTCATAACTCCTGAGGTCGTAGACCGACCCTCGGGCGAATTAATTAAGCATTCAAATTCTCGATGTTTTCGAAAGCCTAAGCAAAGCTGGGCAGCATGCCTAGTGCCTATATAAAATATCGTAATTTAAGAAGTTAAAACAAAATCCGTTTCTATCTGATACTCATCATATGTAGCGCATGGTATGCCTATATAAAATATCTAATTAAAGAATTTGAAACAAAAACCGTTTCTATCTGATACTCATCATATGTAGCGCATGGTATGCCTATATAAAATATCTAATTAAAGAAGTTAAAACAAAAACCGTTTCTATCTGCTACTCATCATATGTAACTCTTCTTCATCCACCAGCCCCAACAACAATCCAGTGTCTTCAAGATGGGTAGCACCCCCTGCCTTACCCTGCTGACTGCCGTAGTCTCTCTGACGTCCGTGCTTATCTCACCAATCCATGCCTTTCAACAGCCCAGCTTCAGCCGGTACCTGACGCTGAAGAAACACGAACTCTTCCACAACTCCCAGCCGGAGGCTGCAGACGAAAGGAGGCGAACATTCCCTCGCACGAACGATAACTCCGAAACCAAGGAAGCCGGAAATTTCCGGTTTTCTACAGACTCGACAAATGTCAAAACGAAGATTGCAGAAGGAAACAGGCGAATATTCTCTAATTCGAATTATAACGCTGATACAACGGAAGCCGGAAATTTCCGGCATTCTTCAGATACGAACAATTTTATCGTTTTTTTCTCTATTGAACTCGTCCTCTCCTCTGCGAGTTGATAATGCTGGGGTGGATAACGCACTCAACGTGAAATTGAAACAGCCATCCCTCAGAGCTATACATAAAAGACTTGTGGATTATATACGCCAATCCACACCCACAAAAGACCGGAATCATTACGTCAGTAAAAGATCTTTAGACGAGGTATCAGACTCCAGTACCAGCGATGCTTTTTCCGGAGAAAACGGTTTAGAAAAACAAAGAGACCCACCGTATAACGAGATGGTTGATAATAACGAGGAAGGGAGGAATGATAAGAATAATAAAGGATGGTTTGCCGGCAACGGTGCCGGAACTCAGCCGGAAGATCTCGAGCTGATGCTGGATGACGGGTTCATGCTGGTACCGTTGGAGGTGCTGGAGGCGAACCTGCAAGAAGACCGGCAGCCGGCTGAGGATATGGAAGATAAAGCTAGTCCATACGGCGGCCGGCTAGACGGTTGGGGTGACCGGTCCGTTGATGATATGATCAGTATGCTGAAGAGAGGTAAGTTTGTGTTGTTTACTGATTGTTGACTTAATGATTTGTTGACTTGCTGATTTGTTGACTGGCTGTTTTATCTTAATTGTGATTCTAATGACAAAAACCGTTTAGGAATCTGATAAGTAGATCATCATAAAAGCAGTTTTACTCTCTCTGAAATTTGATTACTTGGAGTTATGGCAAAAATGTCCGTCTTAAAAATGTATTGCTTTTAAAGACAATTAGTAAAACAATTATTGTAATTGTAATAAGAAAATGTAGGGATAAAAATTGTCAGTACACCTGTATCCCGGGATCAAACTTTCCGCATCTTTTTTTTTTTTTTGGGGGGGGGGGGGGGGGGGGGGGGGGGGGAGGGGAGGGGTGGGGGGGGGGGCACCCATTAAGAGCATCTCAATCCCTTGACGAAACATACATCTTCTTTTGTGTGTATGTGTGTGTATGTGTGTGTATGTATGTGTTTCACATTTTATTTATGTGTGTGGGTGGAGGGGGGGGGGACTTAAAACATACAACTTCTTTATGTGTATGTGTGTGTATGTCACATCTTCTTTGTATGTGTGTATGAGAGAGGGGTCACCCATTAGCTATCACCCATCAAGAGCATCTCAATCCCTTGACCTAACCCACCCTCACAATGTAACATCCCTATTCGCCTACGATGTATCGACATGTAGCATTGATGATTCATTACTTTCTCGGTATTATTTCATCTTTTTTCATCTTTTTAGAAAGATATCTTATTATGATTGGGATATTGTAAAAAAAAAAAGGCTATCCAATTTCTATTTCAAAATATATAATATTACAGTTTCTTGTTAAAATATATTTTGAACAGAGAACGAGTGAAATTTCTACTAGTTTTAAATACATGTCATCTTTGAATCATTTTGATCGAAGAAAACGATATTTTTATCAGTAAACACGACATATTTTTCTGCTTTTAGTTTGTTTCGCTACTTGTTTATAAACAGGTTTTTTTATAGAGCATCTTGCTTTTTGAAAAAGATGTTACCGATATTATATTAAGGGGGCAGTATCACCCAGACTAAGGGAGGGAAACAGAAACTATCACCAAAAAAAAACTATTTGACATACACATGTCAAATTTTTACAACAATAGTAACGTTTCTTCTGCTATAATACAGTATATAAATTGTAGGGTATATGTATGGCAATAAATTGTCAAAAAATTATTTTGTTAATATTTTATCAAATTTTTAATTTTTTGTAAACATTTTTTCGAAACCATAAGTAAAGTACTTAAAATTTGGTATAACCCTTCCTTGCGTTGTTGGCTACGTCCGGGACTACGATAATAGTATTCTATTGAGCGATAAATTTTTAGGAAATTTCAAAGTTCAATTATTTTGGTCTGACTTTGAAAAATTCTAAAATTTTCAAAATTTGTCACAATGGATATCTCCTAGTCCCGGACATACGCTACCCTGTTATGCATCTCCCAGAGTATTTTCAGAAGGAAGGGCCTAAATGTTGGAAAACAGCAGCCAAAACTTACTTAGTAAACATTTTTTGGTAAAATTATTTATAAAAAATGTTTGCATCATACGTTAACTTTCTTTTATGTGCTGTTTTATAGCTCCTTGCTATTTACTATTATGGTAAAAGATTTATGTGTGTATGTATAATAGTTTTTTTTTGGCAAATTTTTTCGTCAATTTTCAAATTTCTGGGTGATACTGCCCCCTTAACTGTTATGGTTAAGGATAGGATGATAATTCGGAGCCATGTCTGAGATAGAGTTATGTATACAGTTTGGGTTTGGTGTAGGGCACAGGTTAAGGTTAACAGTGGCAATACTATCACAAGTAGGCTTGATACGGAAATAGAACAACATGTTCAATCAATATTTGTTTTCCTTTTTTAAAAATCAGTTGATTAAAAAACAATAGATTTAAAATAATCTATCATCCCTGATTTAACCGTGCGATATTGTGTAGCCGGCACTACTGTCCTGATATGACCGTACGGCCATTGTGTAGCCGGCACTACTGTCCTGATATGACCGTACGGCCATTGTGTAGCCGGCACTACTGTCCTGATATGACCGTACGGCCATTATGTAGCCGGCACTACTGTCCTGATATGACCGTACGGCCATTATGTAGCCGGCACTACTGTCCTGATATGACCGTACGGCCATTATGTAGCCGGCACTACTGTCCTGATATGACCGTACGGCCATTATGTAGCCGGCACTACTGTCCTGATATGACCGTACGGCCATTATGTAGCCGGCACTACTGTCCCTGATTTGACCGTACGGCCATTATGTAGCCGGCACTACTGTCCCTGATATGACCGTACGGCCATTATGTAGCCGGCCCTACTGTCCCTGATATGACCGTACGGCCATTATGTAGCCGGCACTACTGTCCCTGATTTAACCGTGCGATATTGTGTAGCCGGCACAACTGTCCCTGATTTAGCCGTGCGATATTGTGTAACCGGCACTATTGTCCCTGATTTAACCGTGCGATATTCTGTAGCCGGCAGTTTTACAACTAGCCGTGTGACAGCGACATTTCAAAAATTCCCGATGGAATAAAAAAAAAGTGTTGAGTTGCAAAAATGTTTAGCTCCGATTTTTTAAAAAAGTTCTGAAAATAAACGGATCAAATATGTAATGCTGAGATGGTTTATTAATTGGAAATTCCTAAAAATAAACAATACCAGATGGAAATTCCATTTGGAATGACTTAAATGAACAACCGGAATTTTACGGATTAAGATAAAATAATAAAGATAATAAGTAAGTGGTTGTGAAGGAGTGGGTGTGGTTGGATTGTCTAAACTCTAAACCATCTGACATTAACTTGCAGTTTATAGCAGTCTGCTTTATATCATGGGACGGCGTGGCTTAGCGGAAGATCGCTAGACGCTTAACCCGAAAGTCCAGAGTTCAAATCCTTCATCTCTCAAACTATACATCACTATTAAACAAGAAACAGAGATTAATTAGACTTATCGGAGCTTACCTGCTTTTTAAAAATTGTACTTACGTACACTACCTAACACTAACGTTTACAAGCGTATTTTTATTTCAAGTGGTCTGTTTGTATAGGTACACCTGCTTTGAACATACAGGCCATTTAGTTTTAATCTGATTGGACGATGCTTTCAGAAAAATCTATTAACCATATTTCTCCCATACACCCCACCCCTCCCCAACCACACCCACGCCCTGAATAATAGCATGCGCTACCAACTACACCACAAAACTGTACATTGGGACAGCCAATATTGAACATTTAACTGTTTGATATTCATTACTTTTACCTATAAGCCTTCTGTATGGTATCTCGTACATAGCTACAATAACACATATACAAACCATTCGCAATATTAAAAAAAAACAGCAAAAAGGTATAAATATCAGAGGTAACCAACTTGGTTACTTCAAGAAGCAACGATCAACGCCTTAAATTACTAATTTCTTGATGTTATTTCATTAAGAAGAAGGTTTGTGGTAGAAATTTAATTTTCATCTACATAAATAGTTCTTACAATATTTTAAAGAAAGTATGTTATCTATCTATATACATTCAAATTTAGTTCATATAACTCAAATACAAGTAACATCAAAAATAATTTTTTATTGTACATATTTAATGCATGTTTTTCATGTTATTTTGTATATAAAACTTAAGAGAGACAAATATGAATTGAACCCCCCCCCCCCGCCCTACACAGTCTCCTATGTATAACGAGTTGAGTTCATCTAACAAACAAATTGATTGTTTCCTCCAATTAATGAAATTTCTTAAATTTCAAAGATTCCAGTAAGGTATCGATCACATTTACGCCGACTCAGGGAATTCTTTAGTCCAAACCCTGACAACCGAACTCTTTTGGTTTACCAACCACGTGATGCCCGACTTGACCACTGACCGCTCTATCGTTCTGTCACTAAGGTCGGGACGGTAAAGCTCATGGTTACCGAACCGAAAAGTCCCGAGTTCGGACCCCCGAGGAGATGAGGCTAGTTAGACAGGGACAGACACTCTTCTAGGAGAGACAACTCCAAAATCAAACATCTGCTGCCTTGTAGTTTGTTCTTGGTTGGACAAAGGCTATGGAATCAAATCTAAAAATAAAATGCAGGCTGAAATCGGAGTCAACGGCCTATATGGCGTTTAAAAAGTTGTGTTGGGGGCTATCCCTTGACTTTTTTGACAACTCTTTGATGGAACTTTAAAAACATAATTTCTCTCTCCAAAGTTAGCTTCTTCTTCTCGTTCTTAATTGGTAGAAGGGATCTGTTATCACTTGCCTCACAGCAATATACATAAAAAATACCTTATCGTTTAAAAAATAAAAACTTTCCCCTGTTGTATAGTTCCGGTATTTTAGGCCCCTCCCCCCAGGCACTCTCCCCCACCCTCCCTCACTGTCCACACTCCCTCCGTCAGCCCCTCCACCACTACCTCTACCCCCAATGTTATTTACAACCACTACCCACACTTCCGGATTGTAAATTAATTGACCTCCAATCCCTCCCCCAATGTTTCATTCAGTCCCTACACCACCCTCTCCCCCACCCCGGGCCATAAATGTTATTTACAACCACTACCCACACTTCCTGGTTGTACATTAATGAGCTCCCCTCCCCCAATGGCTCTAACAGCCCCTTAACACTACCTCCTCCCTCACCCTCACCCCCACCCCCGGACCCCCAGTTTTTATTTACACCGCCACCCACACTTCCTGTTTGTAAATTGGTGGACCCCACCCCCTCCTCATTGCAATGTCACCTTCAGCCCCACGCTCACCCTCATCCCAACCCCCGGTATTATTTACACCATCACCCTACCCCAACCCCCAGTTTTTATTTACACCCCCACCCACACTTCCTGTTTGTAAATTGGTGGACCCCACCCCCTCCTCATTGCAATGTCACCATCAACCCCACCCTCACCCCCACCCCCGGTACTATTTACACCCCCACCCACACTTCCTGGTTGTACATTAATGAGCCCCCC